ACATAATTTAATTAAAAATGATGTAATTCTTTTCCAAGCGCCGAATTGTGCTTATTTTTTCCTTAACAAGCAAAAAAAACAAAAATATCTCAGAAATCATTGTAAACGCACATATTAACCACTCTAAGGAGCCGCCATGGTGTAGCGTCTAGATGCTCGCCTGCGGATCGGATAGTCGTGGGTTCGGGTCTCGACGGAACCCAGCTTTCTTAAAAAAATGACCTTGGCTCACAGGTCGACTCAGCTTTGAGTGGGTACTAGGTGCAGTCCTGGAAGGTAAAGGCGGCTGGCGTGATGCTGACCACATCACCAACCAACTGCTGATTGGTCTATACAATAGAGGTCTAGCCCTATATGCCCGATACGCCTAAAGACTTTATTAACCACTGTATTTATTTCGAGCAGAGTGGCAAGCTTCACTGGGAAGATCACAGGTAGTGAGCATACTTTGGATATTTTCTCCGGGCCATGCCGGCCATACAGGCAGACATATTGGCTGGATCTGTACCGCTGGGTGGTGAAGTCATACATGACCGGGCAGATGTGGTCAAGGCCCTTTGGGAACAAGCAGCGGAAACAGTAGAGAAACAAGATTATTATGGTCTGGAGAGAATGAGGCACCTGGGTGTGACCAGAGGGTCTAGCTGGCTCACTACATTCAGAGGAAGGCAAGGCAGACATTTAACCAGATTGAAACCGTTACCATCAGTATTGGAACTCTGCGCTGGCTGTTGAGGAGGAGGACGGAGCATGCATGGAAATGACCAGAGCGCTGTGATCTCAATTCTTGACTCAACTCAGCTCAACTTATTTTTGCGTTTTCATTGTGACAAGACATTTACTCCTCTTTATGACGTTAACATACTGTAGGCCAACACAAATACGGTTGAAGTAACGTTAATATCCCCCAAATAGAGTAGGTCAATTTTTATTTACAAGTCTGTTGGGCCCTTAAACTTTCCTGAAGGTTACATGTTCCACAACTACATAAATAAAATTGTAAACATAAATTTACCTTTTAAATAAAACCAATGGCTGTTGTTTGGGGTAAAATAAAAGGTTGTGGGGAGGGTGCAGGGGGCACCGTGCATTACCATATCTGATAATGCTAAATATAACACAAAATGTGACTAGAAGGCTCAACGGAGAGAATGGAAAATATGCACACAAACACAACCTAACGTTTCGACTAGAGTCTTTATCAACGGGGTACTAAATATAGCACACACCGACTGGAAAACCCAACGGACAAGACAACAAAGCTAATGAAAAGTAAAATCAAGGTCAATATGAAACCAAGAAGTACGTGATGCAGGACAAATTGAAAAGAGGGACTATATAATACGACACGAAAAAAGTAAAAAGGCGTGTGTGTAAAAAAAAGGGGGGCGGGGGGGGGGGGGGGGGGGGAGTGATACGAATAAGCTAAATAAACTATTTTAAAGCGATATTATACTAAACTATTAAGAAAAACTGAAGTAATGGTAATGACAAATAAAACAGACGCTCCAAAATGCAACATCAAAGTAAATGGGACAAACCTCAAGCAAGTTGATATGTTTAAGTACTAGGGTACCCTGATAACTTCAGATAGTATGTGTATTAAAGGAGTTAAATGTCAAATAGGTCAAGCAAAAGCAACATTTTACAAAATAAAGAATATTTTATGCAATTTTTCCTTGTCAATTGAGACGAGAAAGAGAATTCTTTAAAACCAAACTAATCTTATCTTGATATATGAAAGTAAATCATGGACAGTTGGTAAATTAGTGAAAAATTATTTGGAACCTGCGGAGATGTGGTTTTATAGATGAATGATGAGAATAGCCTACACATATAAAAAGAGTAATGAAGATGTCTTTAAAGAAACTGGCTCACGAAGAAAAACTGATTTCTCACATCAGAAAGAGACAATCGACATTCTTTGGTCATGTGATGAGAAGGAGAAAACTTGAGTACATCGTGACAGTAGGAAAAGTGGAATAGAGGGTTGGCAGAGGGAGACCGAGAGAAAAGATGCTGGACAGTTTGACATGATGGTATGGAAGATCATCTGTGTCAGAGCTGACTGAAAGTACACGGGACAGAAGGATGTGGATAGACATGACTACCAAGGCCACACGGCATGGACTCCAAGAAAACAAAATGAACAAGTAAATAAATTAAATTAAATTAAGCTGTATTGGATATTAACCCCTCCAGTACTAAGAACGCCAAAACTGCGAATGAAACGATTTTTTTTAATCAGTAGCGGTTGGATTGATCATCTGAGCAAGATTTAATAGCAGTCACCGAGATATCGTTCTCGCCAAAGTGGTCAGAACTGCTGAGAGAGACAGGTTCGACAGCCTTATTACCAATGTCAGCAAGATGTTCACGGAATCGACCTACTAGCTTCCTTTCCGTTTCCCCAATATATATACCATTTTACATCTTTAGGAGAAAATTGGAATAAATTCCGTTATGACATTCGCAAGAAAGATGCTTCTCTGTGAAATAAACCATTCACATTCCTATGATTGCATTTCAAAATTTGTGCCATTTGAACTAAAACTTGAATGACATTATTGCGTCGTTGTTAGATTTCTTTATTAATTCTTCTGTTTTCTGGAAATGAATGCTCCCCAGATATACAACATCCTTGACCTTCTTTAACTCGTGTTCATCAATTTTATTATAAGTATCTCGAGCTAATTCCTAGATATTTTAGCACCAAACAGGCATACCTAAAAACTGCATTGTCCATGTAAAAACGGCACGAATGGTCACCCCACATTTGCCTTAAAAAAACAGACACCACGCTTGCTTCCCAGCTTTTCCAAATGTGTTCGCTTTATTTTAAGACAGCGGTTCTCAACCTGTGGGTCGTGACCCTTTTATGAGTCCAACGAGTTTTTCGCAAGGGTCGCCAAAGACCGTAGCAAAACACATACTCACTGAAGTTATGAAGTAGCAACGAAGATAACCTTTGTGGTTGGGTGTCGCCACAATTTGAGGAACTGTATTAAAGTGTCGCAGCAGTCAGATTCATAGAACCGATGTTCTAAGATGTTTTGTCACATAACCAGTCCTAGATTTAGTTAAAAAGTTAGTTGCGTATCCTTTACAGGATGTTGCAGAACCAACCCCAGCATTGTGGTTTTTCTAGGCACATTTTACGTTTAGTAGTTTGCCATTGCTTGCTGTACGGTTTGCTCTTGGTACCACTGTAGAAATCAACGCAAGACAAATTGTCGGCAGCTGGGATAGAACCTGACACCCCGGTATTACGAAGCAGGTTCGCAACCCCTAAGCCACAGACGCCGACGCTGGATATAGATATTAGCCTAAAAAGTTATAGCTTAGGGCTTCAAAATCTTCAGGGGCCTTAACAACAACTCCCCCCACCCCACACACACGATTTTCTTTTAATTAATTTTAAACGCATATTTTTTTTTTTCACGTGTAGTCTTTTCATTTTCATCATTGGCACCTTTCCGTCTTTCCAGACGAAAGTGTTATATTGCGCTATGAGGAGGCATGAAACTCACAGCCCATGGCGATGGTGAGTGTGACTAGCAAGACCGTGTCAAGAAAAGTCTTTCACAATGATAGCACGGGATTTCAGGACCATTGTTGTCAACATTAGTGTTTAAACCGTTTCTTTTCAGACGCTCAGCTCTTATTGTTTCTGCAATCATTTCTTCCTTCAGTCTCATCCCCTTTCTGATATGCCCTTTCCACACAACACTGTCCATGGCATTTTGTTCCCATGAGTCCGCCTCAATATGTGTATCATTTATGTCCCGCTTGCACACATCTTTATAACGTAGTAGAAGTCGGCCTCGACATTTTCTTCCTGACCTTAATTCACCATAAAGGATGCCTTTAGGGACTCTGCCATCCTCCATTCTCCAGGTGTGACCCAGCCACCTGCGCCTTCGTAGACTGAGCATGGAAAAGACTGAGCCTTTTAGGGGAGTATATAATATAAGATAGTAAGTCGCGTGCATCTGAGAGGCAAGATATAACAATCTGCATATAATTAGGTCAGATCTGTTTAACGGATGTGCACGCAACACTTAGGTTCTGTCATAAAACTTAAGTCCAGAGGTGAACAACCAAAACTTTCCGTCGGAGTTTACAGCCAACGTACGTGAAGAAGCAGAAGATAGATTAATCAAAGATACCATATGTCCGTTTAAAGATATTGACATTGATATAATATTATTTGTAGCTGGAACCTTGTACCAATAGCATGGTAAATAAAGGGCCCTTTCCCTGTCTTCTGACGTATTGGGCATATAGGGCTAGACCTATATTTTACAGACCAATCGGCATTCCCTGACTGATGTGGTCAAGTATTCGCCGGCCGCCGTTACTTCCGAGTACTTTACCTGGTACCGATTTAATGTTGGGTCGACCAGAGAGGCAAGGTCATTTTTGAAAAGTGTCCTGGTCATCACGACCTGAACCCAGGACCTTCGGATCTGCAGGCGAGAGTCTAGTCGAGTCGCTCTCTCACAGCACCTCCCGAACAAAGAAGTAAGTAAACGGGGAGAGTAAAAAACACACAACCAATAATCACCATTTTCATTCTGTGGTATATTATACTTCTTCTTCGTCTTCTTCTCTTTCACAATTTACCTCAACGAGGTGTTGGGGAAAGATGTAAGGATCGTTTGTGTGCTTTTTCCAATGCACTGTACACGAGTGTTCATTTCTGTTAGGTCGCTCCTGATAGTGTCGCTCTACATCTTTCGTGGTCTTCCCCTTGCTCTGTGTTCATTATATTTCTTCAGCGTGGTTCTCTGTGGCAGTTGGTACCAGGGTATTCTCGTCAGGTGGCCAAACCATCTCATGTATTGTTCCTTAATGAATAGTAAGACTGGTTTCAATCCTAGTCTTCTTCTAATTTCTTCATTCTTGATTTCAGGTACGGCAAAAAGACGCACGGCCTGTGGAAAGACCTAGGCGTCCCAGGTCCTGAACCCACGCCCTTCTTGGGCAATGTCAGTGAGATGTTTGACGAGAAGATCGGAGCTCATGTGGCTTTCGGAAACTGGCAACTCAGATACGGACGACTGATTGGGGTTTTCCTGTTTCGAAAGCCAGTGTTGATTGTCAGCAGCCCTGAAGCTCTGAAGCAGATCTTTGTCAAAGATTTCGCCAGTTTTTCAGACAGGTACTTCGTTGGCGAAGGCAAGCTCCAGCAACAGCTCATTCAGAAAACTATATTTTTCGCCGAAGGGCCGGTTTGGCGACGGCTGCGGAAGATGATTACTCCAACTTTCAGTAGCGGAAAACTCCGACAGCTGACACAGTACATCAACAAGAAAGCTGCACTGCTCGAGCACTATCTACACTCACATGCTGTAAGCGAAACGTCCACAGAAGCAAAGCTGGTCTTTGGTGCACACACACTCGACATCATTGCCGGTACCACATTTGGCATAGACCTTGATTCCCTCAGTGATCTCAACGCACCTTTTATACAACACGCCAAGAGTCTAATGACAGTCGATAGACTGATCCAGCTGAAGCTAGCCCTAGCTGGCATCTTTCCAGTGCTGATTCCCTTTCTTAGGTTGTTCAATATCGGTTACTTCAAACAAGCGGACATTCAGTTTTTTGAAGACACACTGAAAACCATAATTTTAGAACGAACGGTGACCTCAAAAGGTAAGTCTGACTTTATACAGATGCTCTTGGAGGCGGAGTTTGAGCCAACGGAAGGAATCCACGGTGACACCAAACTTACTACGGAGGAGCTGGTCGCGCAAGGACTGTTCTTTCTAATTGCTGCGTACGACGCAGGTTCAAATGTCTTACAGTTTCTGTTCTATGAACTGGCCAAACACCAAGATGTGCAGGATAAGGTTGTCAAAGAGATACAGACTGTCATTGGACAGACTACAGAACCCACGTATGATAACTGTAAGCGCTTACGATACACAGAAGCCGTCATCGAGGAAGTGCTAAGGATGTACCCACCAGTGCACATCCTGACCAGAACGACAACACAGGAAACTGTCTTGAATGGAATCCGCGTACCTGCGAATATAGGCATCATAATTCCTGTATACAATATTGGACGCGACCCGGAGTTCTTCCCCAACCCCGACAAGTTTAACCCAGACCGGTTTATGCAGGAGCATAGAGGTAACATGAATCCAGCGACGTTCTTGCCGTTTGGGTTCGGTCCTCGCCAGTGCATCGCTGTGAGATTGGTCATCATGCAGTTTAAAATCGCTCTCGTGCACGTCATGAGGAAACTACGAGCCGTGAGTGCCACACCAGAAGTGATGGAGGTGGCTGACCACAATGGAACAATTGTGCCAAAGATACCCATTCGAATATCGTTTGAGGTGAGGGCTTCTTGAGCTTACTGGGCCAAAATCGTTCCGAGGTGACAGTTCAGGGAACTGAACTTTTCTGTTTAAAGTGGAGCGTCTTTGCTTCCAACGAGCACATTTATGTAGCATATTTAGAAACACGACCAGCTAATTTAAACTGTTATGAAATTATCACAATTATTTGTAATCAAACGCGCTGTCTGTCAGATACCGCGAGTGTTGTCTTCAGGGCTCCACCGTGGGGGAAACAAGAACAGACTCACTGCATCTCAAACAAGCGTGTCATAGGAGTCGCCTTTGGGGAGGATGGTGGGGGGGGGGGGGGGGGAAGAGGGGGGAGGTCCTTTGAAGTCAGAGTACATCTGCCTAATAAGCAAGGAACCAACAGTCTGCACACAAATAAGACAGAAATGTGAAACCCATGTGCACACAACACTCGGGTGCTGAAACAAGACTAAAATCCAGAGGTGGACGAACACTCAGGACGGTCTGTTGAGTTAACAACCCATGAACGTTTACAAGAAGAAGAAGAAGAAGATGGTTCCAGTCACGATCATTGGGAACTCCACAATAAGTACATTTGTGATCTGAGTGATGCTGGCAGTAAAACAAACATGCCCCAAAGAATGTTGAATTAAGAATCAACATCACAGCACTCAAGACACTCCCATAATCACTCCATCCCCATCTTCAGCAGCAAGCCAAGAGTTCCAGTTCCGATTGTACCAGTAACTTTCTGACCGTACATCCGTCTTGCCTTGACCTTGAGTGTTAAGTGTCGGCCAGATCCCCTGGTAACTCTCCGCAGCGCTGTCTCCTCAGACTGTAATGATCTATCTGTTCCTCCGCACTGTTCACTCACTCCAACAGCACCTCAAAACATCTAGCTTGTCATACATTAAATTACCACCAAGTGGTGCCGAACCGGCCAGTCTATCTGCCTGCCATAAAGAAAACTTATCAACAAAACGACACAGCTTTTAACCAAGAAAAATATCTCCTCCTAAACTACACACAAAGACATCAAACAGTTTGCCTACTCAGAAAGAATGCATTGTGACACCAGATCATACAAGGCATACACTAAAAGTGGGGAAGGACCAAGATCAAAATGGAAAGATATCAGAGAAACTCTACATAAGCACAACAGACCCAAGTCATAATTTTTGGCTCACACACTGGACACTCAACAAATACTCATATAAATTAGGTATGAGCTAAACAGCTCTCTGCCAGTGTCATCGTGCAAAACAGACTCCTGCATGTCTGTCCACTCCTGGAGGAGCTGCAAAACAACATATGGTCACAATGGTCTCAAAGCATGGCATCCGCCTTGAATGCTGGAGGTCCTGGGTTCAAGCCCCGGTGAAGGCTCGGATTTTTCAAGTGTATTTTTAGTACTTTCCCCCTGATCTCTGTTAAGTTAAGACCAGACGCCCGTGTGTGTTGCTGCGCAGGTAAAAAAATCTCTTGGCAGCTGGAATTCGAAAAGGGTAGCCTAACGGCACCGCCTGGGCAAAAATTGCAGTTAAAAATCTACCAAAAATATTTTCAGGATCCTCACCGGTGCTATGGAGCTCGTGCACTGCATTGAGATTCTTCAGACTTAGGCTTGAGCTAGAAGCAGAACAGAGAACTTATGGGTTACTACCCTTGTGCCGTGACGTTGATCCGTTGTTTGAACACAAACCCAGTATACCTGACAATTTCCTCATATTCACCGGCAGAAAGTTCTGAGTGTTCGCGTCCACCTCTTGTTCCAGAACCTGAGTGTTGCATGCACATCCGTTTCACAGTTCTGGCTTATTTTTATGGAGACTGTTGTTTCTCAGCCCTCTCAGGCAGATGTATTCCCCAATTAGTCGACTTCTACGACATGCTTGCTGGGGAGCAGTGGGTCTATGTTTGTTTTCCCAACAATGGGGTCCGGAACCCACATTGGTGAACCTGACAGCTAAGCTCTGAGACCTTGGAATAACATCCCAGTTTATGACCCACCATGGATTAAACTCATGCATTATTAGAGATCGCTGAAAAAGAAAAAGAATGAACATAACCAAGAGAAAACTCAAAAAAGTGACCAATAAAATAACGACTGTTTTTCTTTTCTTCAAATTTGTAATAAGTGTCTCTAAAACAGGAGTAACTCATGTATTATTAAGTGATCATACAAGTTATTATGACATTTGTACAATCTGATTATTGTTTATGCTGTCTCCTTTTCAGTTCAATAAAGAGATCCTTCACTGCAAAATTTTGTAAATGGAGACTTCAGGAGTTAAGTTAGCCTCCAGTTAGTAACCCTTATGTGGTGATCCTTCCTGCATAGACAGTCATTCCTTCACAGACACTGTCTTATAGGAATGGAATCTTGAACTTTTGTAAAACAAAACATTTTCTGACTGGAATAGAATGTTGAACTTCTGTAAAACAAGACACTTTCTTATGGGAATGAAATCTTGAGCTTCTGTAAAACAGGACACTGTCTTACTGGAACATAATTTTGAACTTCTGTAAAACAAGACACTGTCTTACTGGAACATAATTTTGAACTTCTGTAGAACAAGACACTGTCTTGTGGGAATGGAATCTTGAAATTCTGTAAAACAAGTCATAATTGTTATGGGAATGAAAGCTTTTTCTGTAAAAACAGTAAAGACACTGTCTTACTTGGAACCATAATTTCAGCACTGAGCCCTATATTTCTGTAATCAACAAAGTGACACTGGTCTATCAATGGCAAATGGAGCCGATAATTTTGAAGGCTCCCTTCTGTAAAACAGGACACTGTTCTTATGGAACTGAACCTGTGTTGAGACACTCTGTCCACATATTCTACTTAGAAATGAAATGCTTTTGAACTACACATCTATACACAAACTGTCATCAGGGAATGGAATGTTGAGTCTTCTACAGAAACTTGGAGACTGTCTTACTGGAACAGAATTTTGAACTTCTGTAGAACAAGACACTGTCTTGTTGGAATGGAATCTTGAAATTCTGTAAAACAAGACATGTCTTATGGGAATGAAATCTTTTACTTTGTAAAATAAAGTAAAGAAAGGTAAAAGACCTTCTTCCACACCTTCAGGTGTATTTGGCACATAGAGCTGGCCCTATATTTCATTGACCAATCAGCACCGTATGTGACATGGTCATATCAATGGCAAATAAAAAATGGCACTGACAGTGAACAAGGATTTGGTCAACAATTTAAGGCACTCTGATCATCAACACAGCAAGTAATCAGTACCTATAAGTGCATGTATGTGTGCGCACACATGCATAAAACTAGTCTCTGTACAAACTGAGCCTAAAGATGACCACTAGCAAGTGAAACATGGCACTCAAAAATTAAATTTAAAACAAAAACACTACGAAATCTCAGGAACAACAGCTCTAAATATTTCCTTTCCACACTGGGGAATTTGTTGAGGGGGGAGAAAAACAACTGACTACGATCAATACTGCTAAGAACAGCTTAGGTTACACGTTAAACTCACTGAAATCAATGCAGCATAACCTGTGTCAGTCCTGGGACCTCATGTGAAAGGAACACTGAGCCAGACAGCTGGCACACATACCACAATCTTAGCCACGCAAGTGGTGCAAATAAACCACACCACAAATATAGCCAGAGATGTTGGCGGCTCACTGCCAACAGCAGGTTGAACATGGTTGACATTTTTAAAAATATTGTTTTTTAGAAGTGAATGGAAGGGGACTCAAGTTTGGAGAAAAACACAGAACAGACCCACTGCCTCCCGTACAAGGCGATTAACTAGAAGTCCCTCCGAAGTGTGAACACATCTGCCTGAGAGGTATGGTACAAACAGCCTCCTTACAAATCAGCAGATAGATCAAATGGATATGCACTCAAAATTCAACTTCTGGAGCATGACTTAAGTCTAGATGTGGATGAACAAGCAGAACTTTTCGCTGGAGCTAACAGCTGGTGAACTCTAAGATGAAAAAGATGTCATTTTGTTACAATTTTTAAATTATGTTCAATTTAAGCTAAAAAGAAAATTACACACTCTTAAATGGATTGCAGAATTATAGAATAAATAGTCATAACGCAAATATAGCAGACGGTGTCCAGACTGACTTCATATGAGGGCGACCAAGCTAAACATACAGACATTATTTAAATGTATTCTTCTTACTTCTCATTGCTAGGAAACCTAGGTGGAAAGCTCTGGTTGTTGTCCAATTTTGGACTTTGGTCTTGTTCAAGAATTTTAATTTTGGGTGCACTCCCATTTTACAGATCTGGTTTACTTGTAAGCCGACTGTTTGTCCCTAAAACTTAGGAGAGAAAAAAAAATCAATTAGTAGCCTTTTACAACATGCTTGTAAGAGAGGCAGTGGGTCTATTAGCCACCCTAACCCCAAAATGGGGCTGTAGAACCCACAAAGAGAAAAACATACTGTATTAATGTTTAAGTCTTGAAACTGTTTTTTTTTTGCCTCTTTCTTTATTTGCTTAAGGTATAAGTACTACAATGAGAAGGAGACAAACAAAGTTCTTAGGTCATGTGAGAAGAAAATAAGCAGTGAAAAATATTGTGACAACTGGAAAGATCACTGGTAGAAGAGGCAGAGGCAAACCAATTGAAATGATGGTGGATGGCATGGATGAATATCGTCGGTGGAATTGATCCAAAACACCAAAGGTCGAGATCTGTGGAGATGCACAAACGCCTATGCCAGCAGCTGGCTAGGCCCTTGATGATGATGATAATTAGGTGTTAACGTGTACAGTTCCCTGCATGTCATTATACTGTTGTTTATAAATCGTGAAATTGGGGACCGTAATCGAAACTTGCACCTCTGGGATCTGTTCATCAGTCAAAGGATGACAGTAACTACAAGCTGTGCACATACTAGCAATGTACAATTGACTAACTCAAAGTGAGTACAGGGCTATTCAACTAAGTTTACTCAAGGGTCAAAATGTTGAAAATGGGAGTCGGCAAGGACTAGAGCCCCATTGTAGAAAGATCAACTAGTTTGACAACCATTCACGGGCCAGCTGACAGGCTTCGGCGGGCCACATTCAGCCCGCAGTCTACCAGCTCAACGGCCCCTGTACCAAAACACCTGAAATTATAAAACCGTGTCAACCGTCAAACAGACTTTCCTGAACTGCTAATTAAGCTGAAATAATATGTCACAGTTTACAAAATAAACAAGGTAAACTAAACTAAGACAACTCTGAATATAAAACTTTGAATAGTTAAAATATGATGGAATAAATATATAAAATATGATAAAATAAACATAAAATATGACGAAATAAAACAGATAAAATATGTTGAAACAGACAATCAAATGAACACATAATGTATGATTAAAAGTACACAGCTGCATGTGTGTTTTATAATTATATAGTTGTGGACTATCTCTCAGTCCTTAAGAAAGAGAATAGAGGCTTTTGAGCTAAAATGCAACAGAAAGATTCTCAGAATATCTTGGACAAAGAAGATGAGAAATACTGACATCTTGAAAGATCTGAACATCAAGGAAGATTGGTATGTAAATAAAATTCAGGATCAGTATATCAGCCATGTGCACCTGTGGAAAGTTGCCCTAGACAGCAGAACATGTACTATATGACTGCACCGAATATGACACTTTGAGGTAAATCTTTTGGCAAAAAAAAAAAAAAACAATAGTGGAACATAAACTAAAAATGACAGTGACATTTATCTGAGAGAGAAAAAAAACTGCTGATGTAGACAACTTATTTCAGGTGAATGAAAGAAAAAGAAGAACAAGATGATACATTTCTGATCCCACTCCTAGTTACACTCCCCTCATTTAACATGGTGTTTGGTGGGGGCTTAGGGGGAAAAATAAAAATTAAAAAATGAGTCACAAAACCAAATGTGTTCAGTCTGAATCCATACCCCCCCCCCCCCAAATAAAAACAATGATATAACCTGATTAAGCATTAACACTCTAGCAGTTTCAATATGGCAACAATGATGATGATGATAACATAGATTTGTTAACATAAGCATGGATTTTTGTAACAGCCCACGGATGAAACAGCTCCTATGGAGAGTTAGGGCCCTGCTGGTGCAGGATCTGGTGGGTGGCTGTCTAGTGATCATCATGGTGAGTGTGTTTAGGAAGCTTGCACACAAAGACCGGGATGTGTGAGTGGTGTACCAGGTAGTCGCTGACCGAGCCCATCACTGTTCTCCGGAGAGTGCCCAAGCCACGACAGCCCGCCACCATCAGAGTGGCCTGCTCTTCCTCGGCAGCCTTGCAAATGCCCTCTCCTGGCTTGGAAGCCATGACACTTTTCACTTTCCCTCCCAGCTGAAAAAGGAAACAGAAAAACAGATGCAATAAAATATACAGCAATCTATTCTACAGTTGACATCTGCCCAACTATCATCATTAATGCGTGCAGTGACTCGCCTTTGTCTAACTGTAGGACTACACCAGCTAAGAGAGTCAGCCTCCTGAGTGGCAGGAGCATCACCCACAAAATAAATCATAATTTACAGACAATCTCTGGCAGGAGCATAACCCACAAAATAACTCAGAATTTACAATCTCTGGCAGGAGCATCACCCACAAAATAACTCAGAATTTACAATCTCTGGCAGGAGCATCACCCACAAAATAACTCAGAATTCACAGACAATCTCTGGCAGGAGCATCACCAACAAAATAACTCAGAATTTACAGACAATCTCTGGCAGGAGCATCACCCACAAAATAACTCATAATTCACAGACAATCTCTGGCAGGAGCATCACCCACAAAATAACTCATAATTCACAGACAATCTCTGGCAGGAGCATCACCCACAAAATAACTCATAATTCACAGACAATCTCTGGCAGGAGCATCACCCACAAAATAACTCATAATTCACAGACAATCTCTGGCAGGAGCATCACCCACAAAATAAATCAGAATTTACAATCTCTCGCAGGAGCATCACCCACAAAATAACTCAGAATTTACAATCTCTGGCAGGAGCATCACCCACAAAATAATTCAGAATTTACAGACAATCTCTGGCAGGAGCATCACCCACAAAATAACTCATAATTCACAGACAATCTCTGGCAGGAGCATCACCCACAAAATAACTCAGAATTTACAGACAATCTCTGGCAGGAGCATCACCCACAAAATAATTCAGAATTCACAATCTCTCGCAGGAGCATCACCCACAAAATAACTCAGAATTTACAATCTCTGGCAGGAGCATCACCCACAAAATAATTCAGAATTTACAGACAATCTCTGGCAGGAGCATCACCCACAAAATAATTCAGAATTCACAATCTCTGGCAGGAGCATCACCCACAAAATAACTCAGAATTCACAGACAATCTCTGGCAGGAGCATCACCCACAAAATAACTCATAATTCACAGACAAATCTTTTGGCAGGAGCATCACCCACAAAATAACTCATAATTCACAGACAATCTTTCTGTGATATCACTCTCTGGTCAAGAAGACATACTAAATACAGTGACACACTCATACCCAGGGTGGGGACAGCTTTTAACTTGCTGTTATTTACCTGGGTGTCATTTACTTCTGAGACATTTATCTGGGTGTCAGTTACCTGGGTGTCCATTTTTCTGGGTGTCAGTTACCTGGGTATCCTTTACCTAAGTATCAATTACCAGTGCGTCATATTCCTGGGTATTTGCTACCTGAGTGTCATTTACCTGGGTATCCATTACATATGTGACAGATACCTGGGTGTCATTTACCAAGGTATATATTACCTGGGTGTCAGTTACCTGGATAACTATTACCTGGGCATAAGTTAACTGGGAATCAGTTACCTGGGTTAATTTACATGGGTATCAGTTACCTGTATGTCATTAACCTATGTATCTATTACCTGAGTGTCCATTACCTTGGTGTCATTTTACCATCGAAGTGTCATTTACCTGGATGTCCATTACATTGGGTGTATGTTCCTACCTGAGTGTAATTTTCTTGGATGTCCATTACTTGGGTGTCTGTTAGCACCTAAGTGTCATTTACCTGGGTGTCTGTTAACGCCTAAGTGTCATTTACCTGGGTGTTTGTTACCAACTAACTGTTTTTTACCTAGGCATCAATTACCTGGGTGTCAGTTACCTACCTAATGTCAGCTACCTAGGTATCATTTACCTGGGTGTCAGTTACCACCTAATGTCAGCTACCTAGGCATCAATTACCTGGGTGTCAGTTACCACCTAAGTGTCAGTTACCACCTAAGTGTCAGTTACCACCTAAGTGCCAGTTACCACCTAAATATGTTACCTGGGTGTTCTGCTCTTTTCTGTGCCCCACACAAGACAACACATGTGTACACAGACTAACCAACAACTGTATCTACTTACGCCACGCTTTTTGAGTTTCTGAGCAAACACTTCCAGGTCAGCTTTGATGCGCTCCTGCTCCTCCCTCAGCATGGCTTCCATCACCTCACGATCAAACACATACACAGCTGTCGAGAGAACACAATCACATCACAGTCAAACACATACACAGCTGTCTTCTTCTTCTTCTTCTTCACTTCCTCTTTTACCGCTGTGGGTGTTGAGGGAGATATAAGGTTCTGTTTCTAGCTCTTCTGGCTGCCTCGACCATAGGCACATCGTGCTGTTGTAGAGTTTCTCTGATGTTATCCTTCCATCTTGTTCATACGTGGTCTGTCTTTCCTGTGCTCTACGTCCTTCTTCTCTTTCCATGTAGAAGAAAATCACATGGTATGGTGTCACAGCTGTCGAGGAACACAATCACTCTCAGTGGTCAAACACATACACAGCTGTCAAGAGAACAAAATCACATCACAGTCAAACACATACACAGCTGTCGAGAGAACACAATCACATCACAGTCAAACACGTACACAGCTGTCAAGAGAACAAAATCACATCACAGTCAAACACATACACAGCTGTCGAGAGAACACAATCACATCACGGTCAAACACATACACAGCTGTCGAGAGAACACAATCACATCACGGTCAAACACATACGTCAGCTGTCGAGAGAACACAATCACATCACGGTCAAACACATACACAGCTGTCGAGAGAACACAATCACATCACGGTCAAACACATACACAGCTGTCGAGAGAAGACAATCACATCACGGTCAAACACATACACAGCTGTCGAGAGAACACAATCACATCACGGTCAAACACATACACAGCTGTTGAGAGAACACAATCACATCACGGTCAAACACATACACAGCTGTTGAGAGAACACAATCACATCACGGTCAAACACATACACAGCTGTCGAGAGAACACAATCACATCACGGTCAAACACATACACAGCTGTTGAGAGAACACAATCACATCACGGTCAAACACATACACAGCTGTCGAGAGAACACAATCACATCACGGTCAAACACATACACAGCTGTCGAGAGAACACAATCACATCACGGTCAAACACATACACAGCTGTCGAGAGAACACAATCACATCACGGTCAAACACATACACAGCTGTCGAGAGAACACAATCACATCACGGTCAACACATACACACACACAATCACATTACAGATGGTCAAAACACATACACACGAGAGAAATCACATCAGCTTCCTGGCTGTCAAACATCATTACACAGCCCTCTTCTTCTTAGTGTTTCTGGTTGTCCATATGGACTTTGGTCTCATTCTAGAACTAACTTAAATTTCACGCGCACATCCATTTTACCGATCCGACTTATTTATATGCAGACTGTTAGTCACTTGCTTCTCAAACAGATGCACTCTAACTCTTAAGGAACCCCCCCCCCCCCCCACTAGTCACCTTTGATGACATGCATGTTACGTAATCTATAGAATTTTAATTTAATCACAAAATGTATAGATTAGACCCAGTTAAAGTGAAAGCCAGATGTGCTTTACAGGACACTGCAGAACCAACCACAGCATTTCTTTTTTGGCTGCTGTGGTCTTTCTAGACAAGTTCATGTTCAGTAGTTTGCCACTGCTTTCTGAGCTATCAGCTCTCGATAACACTGATGAAACCAACACAAGGCAGTCTGCTGGCAAATTGACCACTGACAAAACCAACACAAGGTGGTCTGCTGGCAAATCGACCATCGATGAAACCAACATAAGGCGATCTGCTGGCAAATCACCTGCAGCTAGGATTGAACCTGGCATTATGAAGCGTGTTCACTACAGGAAACCAACACAAGGCGGTCTGCTGGCAAATCGACCACTGACAAAACCAACACAAGGTGGTCTGCTGGCAAATCGACCATCGATGAAACCAACATAAGGCGATCTGCTGGCAAATCACCTGCATCTAGGATTGAACCTGGCATTATGAAGCGCGTTCACAACACCTAAGCCACAGTAGCAAGTCTAAAAATATGCCCACATAAAAACATCAAGCGCTTAACAACAGATATCCCGCAATGAGTCCTAGTAGTTAACTGGTAACACATGTTGGAAGGATTCATGTATGGTTAGCCCAGAAGAACATTATCATGGATATAAAAGCCCCTTACCAGACCGTTGTCTCAGTCTATGTAGAAGAATGATAACTGGGTTAGAGAGAATATGTGACACCGACTACCATTACATCTCAGATAATGAGCATCCAGTAATTCAATCATGATGCTGGCGAATCATAGGCGTGGATACAACAGTGAAATACAAGGAGTAGAGTGGAAACTGACAAACAGACTTGACCAGGGAAGGAGTCTCTGCAGGTAGATTAGAACGAACGAACTTTATTTTTAAAGGGTTATAAATTTGGCACGCAGGCCCGTCTGGCATTCGGCCCTTCTGTGCACTCATCTTTCAAAGTAACAATGCCTGTTAACAATAATGCATGTTATGTTTATAATAAAAAAATATACATTATAGAATAATGCATACACACATCATGTATACACACTCAAACACACATGTACACATACTCTTACATTCTCATATGTACACATACACAATCATATACAGACATACCTAATACGTACATACACGCACCTACAAACACCCACATGCATACATAATTCAAACATACATACACCAACACACATTCATACATACACCTACATTTGAATGCATAAACACACATACAATCACATATACAGACACCCCATACACACACACATATGCCCACATTCACACATATACACTCACACATACACTCACATGCATACATATATACACACATACACTCACATACTTACACACACACACATATGCATACATACATACATCCACCAAAATGCATACATACACACAGATACATACATACACACGCACACATTACAAAATACACACACATGCATACACACATAGACACCCACACACATACATATATACTTGCATACATAATCTACACACACACCCCCCTAAATACACTCATCTACAATCACACATACACCCACATAATTATAACATACATTCATAAATACACACAAATACTAATACTCAAAATAAGCGTTTCCTTCAAAGTAAGGATGCACCTGTCCAAAAGGCGAGAAACCACCAGTCTGCAAACAAATAAGTCAAATTTCTAAAAATAATGTGCATGCAAAACTCAAGTTCTAGAAGATCCAAGTAACAACCAGAACATTCTGCCGGAGTTAACAGCTGGTGAATGATAAGAAAAAGGAGAATTTCCAGCTGGGGCAGAGAGAACGTCACCTCACCTCAAACTGCCATGATTGAGCCCACATGGGGGTCTGACACTTTGAATATGCGCAGCATCACCCGCTACAGTTGTGTATCTGTGTTACAAGAATACTTACAATTGCTCCATCTGGACGAAGTGAAGCATGTCATTGAGCTCAGGAACATAGACAAGGATGATATGGTCACCTTCCCTGTGCACATTCTTGCAGAACCCTGTAAGACAAGAAGAGCAACATTCATCAATTGAGACAACTTCCACCTTACTCAAGTAAGACAAGAAGAGCAACATTCATCAAGTGAGACAACTCCCATCTTACTGAAGTAAGACAAGAAGAGCAACATTCATCAAGTGAGACAACTTCCATCTTACTCAAGTAAGACAAGAAGAGCAACATTCATCAAGTGAGACAAACTCCCACCTTACTCAAGTAAGACAAGAAGAGCAACATTCATCAAGTGAGACAACTCCCATCTTACTCAAGTAAGACAAGAAGAGCAACATTCATCAAGTGAGACAACTCCCAACTTACTCAAGATTGCCAGCAAGAGTTATTCTTCATCTGCTCGGTTCACCAACAATGTTCACAGCACCTTTCCAGACAAAAGTTATATTGGGCTGCATGGGGATCATAATTTATGTCCCCATGTGCATGCTGGGCTCCATTTGGAAGAACAAAGACTAGACCCACTGCCATCCTAACAAGTATGTCACAGGAGGTGACTAATTAGGTGTCTTTCCTTCAAAGTCAGTGCATCTGCCTGAGAGGCAAGGAACTGATAGTCTGTATACAAATAAGGCAGATGTGTAAAACTGATGTACATGCAAAAACTCAAGTTTTGGATCAACACCAAAGTTCACAGCTGGCGAACACGAAGATGAAGACTTCCCTAGATATGTCCATGTTAGTTTAGGTTGAACCAGCAGCTGAAAAAGTCGCAGTTACAACAGCTGGCATTAAGTAAAATGGCACTTTAATGGGCACATCCAGAGAAGAAGCAAACAGAGAATCACCAAAGAGGCACTGAAACACAAACAAATAGACTGAGAAAAGAGGATGCCCAAGAGAAAGTCTAAAACGAAAGGTGCTGGACTGGATTCTGTCCATGACTTCGAAAGTATGGTACACGATACAAGGAAATGTCCCTCTAGTGGGTTCCAGGGCCCTATTGGGGGTGAGGGGAAAGAGATAGCCCCACTGCCCCCTCTAACAAGCATGTGGTAAAAGACAACAAATGAGGAGTGTTTCCTTCAAAGTCTGCATCTGCCTGAGAGGCAAGGAACCAACAGTCTGCATTACAAATATCAGATTTTTGAAAAAAGATATGCAAGCAAAACTTAAGTTCTGGAACAAGATCAAAGTCCTGAAGTGAACAAGCAACTAGAACTTTTTACTGGAATTTACAGCTGGTGAATGCCAAGAGTCAAGAGGTTGACTAAGAAAGAGATGGGTGGATGAAGTAAAAGAGACATTATGGAAACACAACACAACATCAACACAAGCTATTCAACTAGCAAAAGACAGGAAACTACATCTCACTCCTCTCTGAGATGCTTCATGGCATAAAGAAGAAGAACAGAATGCAGGAATAAACTACAATTCCCAGATGTAACATATAATGGTGCAACAGAATGATGATGATGATGACGCTGCAGCACAGGTCATTCTTTAAAATTTCCACCAGAATGGGAACTCAAACACATAATCCTTGCGTGGGCAGTCAAGAATGACTCCCAGTCTGTGATTAGCAAGTTTTGTTGTAGTTGTTCAATATGTTGTTACCAATGAAAACTATTACTTCCTTGCGTTCACCAGCTGAAAACATCGGTGGAAAGTTAGTTAGTTGTTTGTCTACCTCCAGACTATGGTCTTGTTCCAGAACCCAAGTGTTGCATACTCACCTGTTTTACAAATCTGGCTTATATATATGCAAACTTCTGGTATCTTGCCTCTTAGACACATGTACTCAGACTTTGAATGATGCCCACAATTAGTTGACTCCTATAGCATGATTTTTGTTTGTTTGTTAGGCAGTGAGTCTATTCTTGTTTTCCCCACAATGGGACTACGAAACCCACACAGGGAAACCAACAAAAACAAAAACTTTTTAAAAACATTACTGAAACCAGAGTTTATGAAGAAGACAGTTGACGACAGGGTTGTTAGACACTCCATTTTTCATGGATTCTTTCATTTCCCCACTGCAATTTGTTTTGCTTTTAGAGTAAGTTAATTACTTTCATTATGTAAAGTTGACAGCCTATTAGCAGCGAAAAATGTCTCTACAAACAAACAGCAAGTCGTCACTCTGTTTTCTATTTTTAAATATTTGGCAGCACTGGTCGACAAACTCTGCTGCCTAAACAGGATGTGGGAGACCTGTTGATGTTCAAGTTCATTTCTAAAGTTTCTATAAACCTGTGAATAACACCAATACCCTGGCTTGTGTTTAATGTTATACATAATGAACCTAGCATGCAAGGCCAATTCTAAAAGACATTCACTAATGGCAGTTTGAAAAGCTGTTTTATTTCTTCTAGGGAGCAGAATTATTGCCACTTCTAATCTTGCCTGCTGATCAAAAGGTCATGGGTTCAGGTCCTGACCGAGCCGGAAATTTGTTTTCTCCAAAATGACCTTGACTCCCAGACCGATCGAGCCTCAAATGGTTACCAGATAAAATCCTGCCAGGAAAGTGAAGACAGCCGGCGAAGTGGTGACCATATCACCCACTGAGTGCTGTATAAATATCCATAAAATATAGCTCAGTACAACTGAAGACATAGAGTAGGGCCCTTTGCTTCTTTTTAAAAATACTAACATTGTGTTGCTGAATAAACTTCTTTCTTATCTTGTGCTACTGTTTATGCTGTGAAGCATTGTAGAGAGGAGTTGTTATATAGTTTCCTGTCCTTTTGCTAGTTGTGCAGCTTGTGTTAATATCATACTGCACTTCTATAGTGTCTCTTTTGCTCCCTTCGCCCATGTCTTTCTTGGTCTGCCTCTTGTCTTGTAGCCTATTCTCATGTAGTATGGTATGCTCTAGCTACTAACTGATTTTGTTCCATTCTGATCAGATGACCAAACCATTTGATTCTCTGACATTCCATGAAATTACTCTCACGGTAAAAAAAAAACTTCTCTTCAATTGAAAGAAGGGAGGGCTAGTGAGATTCTAACAGGTGATTCGATCCCAAACTTCCACAGCTATCTGCTGATGTGCTACCATGATAACAATTTCCTAAGTTCCTTTATAAAACTCTGCACAAATGACCAAAATAACCAGAACACCAACTTGCTGCACAAATGCCCCCCACAGAACTGGATGTGCTGGCCACAATAGGCAAAATATAACATTCCAAAAAACAAAAACAAAATCAAAGGAACAAAGGTAACAATAACTAAAATAAGAGAACTGCTGATGAAGGCAACATCCCTGGCTAGTTACTGGTTTCAGTGGGGCCGTGGGGGATCCTCAAAAGGGCTGACAGTCTGGGTGTACATTATTTTCATTGGTTACCAGAAGATGACAAGCCTGCAGTTTTACAGCGTTAGTAGATCTGAAGATGTCATCTAATTCAGAAAAGCAACGCTACTCTGCTTCTCGCTTGCCAATGATGACAGCTAAAGGTAATTAATCTCGCAGTTCAAGTCACCAAGTAAGGCCGCAGTGATAGTGATGAAGACCAATGCACGCTGCAACACACACAGTGCCAGGTGCTGACAACGTTGAAAAATAAGTACATGCTGGCCGCTCACAATGTAGAATATAGAATGCTTATAGCATTGAAAATAACACAGCATGACACATCTAGAACACAGGACAGCCCATGGGAATGGCCACAGCAAGAATGGGGGCAGACATGAAATTTTCACATGATGGCAAGATGCTGGCAAGTTTGTGATATGTACCAGCTTTTCTTTTTCTTTTCAACTGTTTGCCCTTAAAAAGGCAGCTGACATGCTGTGTTGTGGTTCCCAGCTAGGCTGCGACATGTGCACATTTCAGCCCAACATATCACATCCAATCTCAGAAAATCCAAATTAAGTCACCATTTACAACACACTTGTTAGGGGACAGTGGATTTATCCCCCCCCCCCCCCCCCCCCCAAACTTCTTAATGTGGCTGAGAAATCCATAGATAATTTATGTAACAACCCACACATCTCACAGGAGAGTGAAACAAGTTCCACAAGCCCTACTTTTCTGTCCACATTCTGTTTACCACTTTCACGCTGTTTGCTTCTCTCTGGTAATTGCCCAGCTTTTATGCAATGATCATTTAATGTGTCCTATAAACATCACATCTGTGTAACTGTAATGGTCTAGTGCTCCAGGCAAACAGACACTTACACTGTTCTATCAGAAGTGAATGAACTAAACAAACTAGGAGAACAGCTGGTAGGCTGTCAACATGGAGGAGAAAACGTGTAACAAAATATTTCATTCCCATATTTGATAGAAGAATGCAAGCAGAAATAGATCACAGATGTAATAAATCAAATCGTCGGATAAAAGTCATCCATTCTGCAGAATAAAAAGGTCAATATTGATCAATAAGTTATTCTACCTATACTGTGTAACAAGTGCCAAACATGGATGTTAACAACAAAAGAGAAAAGGAAAATCATAACATCAGAAAAAAATGAATCCTAAATGTAACTAGAAGAAACACGATCAGCAATGACGATATCAGGAAAGAAGCTGGGACAGAACCAGTATTCTTCTTCTTCTTCGTGTTCGCTGGCTGTAAACTCCAGCAGAAAGTTCTGGTTGTTCATCCACCTCTGGACTGCAGTCCTGTTCCAGAACCTGAGTGTTGCATGTGCATCTGTTTGACAGATCTGACTAATTTGTATGCAGACTGCTGGTTCCTTGCCTCTCAGGCAGATGCACTCTGACTTCGAAGGAATCTTCCAATTAGTCGACTCTTACTGCATGCTTTTGGGGAGGCAGTGGGTCTATTCTTGTTTTCCCTATAATAGGGCCCCGGAAACCACACGGGGAAGAACCAGTATTAAATTATTTCAGGAGACAACAGACTGAATACTTTGAAGAGGTGCCAAGACTGCCATCACATAGTACAACACAGACAGCCCTGTCATTCATTAAGACGTAATGAAAGCAGCGCCAGAGATCGAACACACAAGCAACGGGTAGATGGAATAGCCAAGGTTGTAAATACCCACATCTACGTAGCACATACCAAGGCT